CTTGGAAGGGAGAAAGGCATGAATATTCCTCTGCCGTAGGTAGAAGGGAGCAGAGCATTATAACCTGTCCTGCTCTTATGAATAACCGTAGACACGAATGCGGCAAGAGTCTAAGGTTGCAAGAGAAGGTTGTAGACCCCACAGAGAAATAAATGTAGAATGTGAACTACCTGGAAGTTTTGCCAGCTAGATATAAAAAACCTGATTAATATAAAAAATATTCATATTACAGTGGAATAGTAGATGCAAGTGTAAGAAATAGCCCCAATGTTAGCAAAACAGCAAAATTTGTACAGTCTTGCACTGCTTAACAGTGTTTTGGTCAATAATGGACTGTATATGCGACAGTGGTGCCATAGATCATAATAGAGCTGAAAATTCCTGTCGCCTAGTGACACTGCTGCCCTGCTAACGCTGTAGTGCAGCATGTTACTCACGTTTGTGGGGACACTGCTGTTAAGAAACCTATTGTGCTGCAGTCATATAAAAGTATAGCACGTACAATTATGTACAGTACATAATACTTAAAAATGATAATGACTACATACTGGTTTATGTATTTACTATACTTTTTATTGTTGTTTTAGAGTGTATTCTTTCTTCTTATTTAAAAAAAAGGTTGCTGTAAAAGAGTATGTCATAGCCCTGGCCGAGTAGCTCAGTTGCTTAAAGCATTGTCCTGATATGCCAAGGTTACAGGTTCGAGCCCCTGTCAGGGCACATACAAGAAACAGCCAATAATGCATAAATAAGTGGAACAAAAAATTGATCTCTCTCTCTCTCCCCCCCCTTCCTCTCTCTCGTGAAAATCAATAAATAAAAATTAAAAAAAAAAAGGAGTATGTTGTGTCATGCCAGTAGCAGCCTCATCTGGTGTTTATATCTCCTGACTGCGTCATCTTGGCTTATGCTTATTTAATCTTATGTTTTGTATAGTAACATGCTGTAAAGGTTTGTAGCCTAGGAGCAATAGGCCATGCCACACAGCCTAGGTGTATAGTTGGCTGAACCATCTAGGTCTGTGTAAGTGCACTCTGTGATGTTCACACCACGACAAAGTTGCCTAAATGACGCATTTCTCACAATGTACCTGTCATTAAGCAGCACATGACTATATAGCATATAAGTGATATTTTAAGAACTAAGAATATAACGATGTCAGAAGATGATATAAAGCTTCTGGTCTCTAGCTGCTTGAAAAATACAATTAATTTCTGCAGCTTAAGCTTATAACCAATCTTCAATATCTTGATTTGGTATCTCAAAGTCAAAACCTCACAAAAAGAAATGTGTAAGAATATTTATTACACATAAGTCTGTTATGTTTCAGACTCAGGGAAAAACGTACACTTTTTTTCTTATCACAGAAGCATTACCACAGAACTCAGGTTAACAAGATGGAAGTATGGCAAGAAACATCTCATTACAGTGGAGTACTACATCTCAGAAAACATTCGATAGAAAGACAACAAATGCATGTTTTATGACACTTGTTAAATGTCAAAACAAATTAAGGGACAGTATGGATAGACCTGGAGAAAATTATGCTAAGCGAAATAAGCCAGAGAAAGATAAATATTGCATGATCTCACTTACATATGGAATCTAAACACAATAATCTGATGAACAAAATAGATTCAGTGACAAAGAAGCATGGAACAGACTGACGAATCTCAGAGGGAAGGTGGG